AAATACAGGGCCAATAACTTTTTTCCATGGCTCTCCTTGTTGAAATTTGATAACAAGATCATCTCCAGCAAAATGTCTACTTACAAATATCTGAGATAATGAAGAAATACTCAATAACAACTACTACTATTACTAGTATGTCTGAGTTTGAAACAAGTCGTGTATAATTAATTCAAATGTACTTACAGATAGTACAGTTGGACCAACATGTGAAGTGAGGTCTTGTTTGTAAGGTCCTCCAGTACGAAATTCATCATTAGGAATTATCATCCAAAATCCTACTGGAGGATTAGTAGAACTTACCCATCCATGAACTCTATCGTCTTTGTTATCACTTGCATAAAAGTATTTGTCATCCACCTGCAAATTTGTAGATGTAAATTTGTGACTTCCTAGGAAGTCACATGTTCGAGATGTGGAGACAGACTCTTGTAGAAATAGATCCTTGTGGTACGAGTACGACCCTTCTCTCACTCTGTGCACAGTAGGAGCTTAGTACATCGAGCTGCCCTTACTGTTATAACTTTATATAGCTTGCACTTCTCTATCTAGGACGAAGGACAACATGTTTGTACAATAAACAGCTTCAATTTCCTTCTTAACATAGGTATTGTTTACAATAGTTAAGTAAATAAAAGTGTCTCATATAACATATTAAGCTTTTAGATGATCTGGTCATACGTTCAACAGATACATGATCTAGAATACGATAGATCTTACCTCTCCTTTTAGGTTTGGGTTAGTTGGATTTGTCAAAAGAACAGCTTCTTTGTAGTCAAGTACCTTTCCCGTCTCTCGATCCACTGGCATTGGCATGATCCTCTGCCTCTCGTCCGAGATAGCCATGTAATGAAACCTATAAATTATAACATCAAGTTTCATACTCTGACCTTACCTCTACCTCGTGGAGATAGAGAGGTTATTTCCAAAAGACACTCAACTTAAAAAAACAGATGATATCTTAAGTAAATGATGAGGAAATGTAATTTAGTACATGTCCTGTTGAAGCTTGAACACAACTCTTAAATTTTCGATATATACAAGGGGCCATCCTTCTAAACGTTCAACGATAGCATACGTATAAAATCCAGGTGTGTCTCGTAACATCACAAACCTGAAAATTCATCGATTTAGCATACGTATACAAAATTGAGATTTCTGAAGAAAAGAAATTGAAAAAATTGAGCTTTTATAGTACACTTCACCTTAAGTCACTGTTTAATGGAAGTTCATCAGATTGAGAAGCATTCCATGTACTTTTAAACGATATTTCTGCCTGGTTTTCGGTATCCATAATGACCTCGAAATTATTTTCCAAGAACCTGGATTTTACGCGAAAAATGGACTTATAATTTTGTATGATCGAATTTCATGTATCATAATTTGTGACTATAAGGTAAAGATTACTTTTTTCGAGCTCTTTTAGACGTTGTACGATTCCAAAAAATATCCCAATACCTGAAAAATGTCATAGATTAAGCCAAACAAGTTTGAAACAGAGGGAGTAAGATGTTTATAGGTTATGTACCCTCTATCTTTTTCAACATTTTGAGTCGCGAGTAAGTTGTTGACTCCACCATATGATATGCTCGTAACAAAACCATATGGTGTTGATAATGTAACATTTACAATGCCATTGCTCATCGTCACCTGAAGAGAGACGATATAGGATAAACACGCGATAAGATGTGAAAAATCATGGATCAAAGTACAACAATTGAAAATGATGTACGATTAGACATATACTGGCTAGTTTAGGTAGGTAAACAGAACGATGGATAGTTAGAGGTATAAATTTACTTGGTTAGTTTGTATATCCAATCTAACAATCGGCGATTCTATCAATCTTTGCCTGTTTTCGGAAAAATAAACAGCAAATCAGTATGCAAATCTTCATAGAGATTAGATTACTCTTTCTATCAACTTAAAAAGAACTAAAATGCAGAAAATGCCCTGTTTTAGATTTGTACAAGAAGAAATGTCTCACATAATCAAAATCGAAACTTTTGTCATATCTCAACTTTATTCAGACACGTTATTTACATCAAATCAATAAATATATAACGAGTGTATTCTACAGGGATGTACTTTGGCTCTAATACCAAGTAAGAATTAAATAAGTTGATTTATGATCTGCATTTTAGTTTATTTCAATCTAATCAATTTAAAATTGAAGTAACTTTTTGGATGGGTAATAATTTGTTGATGAGTAAGTTAAGATCAATTTACTCGCACCTCAATTTTCGGATATATTCACTACCAAGTACATTTCTACCTCTTACGATAGTGTTCGGCTATTTGTACATCTCATCACACTTGTTACCTCTTACCAGCACAACATATATATTGAATAATTGAATTTATCCACTAAATCACACTAAATCGTGAAAAAAACTTTATTATAACACGTTAAAATACTCTGATATAAGAGTTAAATAAATGAAATAGAGACTTACCCATCAACTACCAACAATGTAAAAGCAACCATGGTAAACTCCACAACATATAATAAGCTTATAAGTTGCATATTCTTCCCCATGTTCTGCATTTTCACAATATAAATATGTTGATTGATTTATTTAATGAGGTGAATACTATATTAATTAACTTTAATTAATTGATTAAATATATATGGTGCATGTGTTAATTTACCTAATTCATCTACTATGGTTGCTGAAGCCATTAAATTAATTAAATGTCACAATATGAGTTGCTAAAATTAGGAGTTAGTCACGGACGTAAGTAACACAAGGACAGAAAAATGTAGTTTATTAGGTTCAACTTTTTTGACTTATACCCATATATATTTATTTAAATAAGTGAAATTAGTTGTAATTATTGAAAAAGTAAAGTACAAAATATTGTCAATAACGAAATTATGTAAGATTCTATAAGACAGGTATAATTTCAGTTAGAGTTCTTATAGACTATTTTACTAAAAAATTTTGTTCATGTCTATAGAATAGTTGATATATTTTCTCGTGAAAAGTCACTCCAAATATTTGTAAAGTCTTGAGATATTCATAAAAGATCAAAATGTAGCCAATACTCTTTTAACAATCAACTATTTCCATAAAAATTAAAAAAATCTTCACGCAAATATGAAATAAATTCGCAAAAAGTCCAAATCATTTTAAGACGGAAAATATACTATTAAGAAAGAGAACTACTTGTACTGTTTGATAAAAATATATAATTATTTTTTTTAGGCATTAAAATTTGTTCCAAACAAACATGTTACAACATATTAAATTACATAGGCTCAAAAATAAAACTCAAATATGAATGTTTAAAGGAAAAAAAAAACAAAACAAACAGATCAACAGAAGGGGTCAAAGGGTCAATTTCGCTAATTAACTATGTGAAATGGAATAAATTTTTCTTCGAAATAATATACCTTTAACTTGTGCGAAGTAAAATAAATTTACCCTTAGGGGAGGAAGCTAATAGCGGGTGATATCACGTGTCAAACAATTAAGAATCAACAAATACAAATGGAGGGTAAATTTGAATCTTTTACAAATTTTAGGGGAAAATTTAATTATTTCTCATCATTCAAAATCAAATTAAACTCTACCATCAATCACCTTTTTTTTTTCCTTTTCTCATCACCGTCTCTCTCCGTTATTATTATCACCATCACCTTCACTATCATCATTTCTTGGTCCTCTTTCTTTTTTCTTCTCTCAATCCCCGTCATCCCACCATAGAAGAAAATGCATAAATAATTTAAACATGCGATATAAAATATTATTTTAATACAGACGTATAGTCAAATAAAAAAAAGACTAAGAAAGAAAAGGTGATTAACAGTAAAAAATAGTATCATGAAAAGATAAAAGATGAATAAAATAATCGTATAGCGCCCAATAAAATGAAAAAAAAACACAAAAAAACATAAGCTATATTCGTGATAATTCGAAATTCATAAATGATGAAGTTATTTAAAAATGAATAATTTTACGTACCTCTTTGTGGATTTTTTGTTTCTTTGTTTCTTCTAGTCTCATATGTTTCTCTTGTGGCAAAAAAACATTGGGAGAGACAATTTCTCATACGTTTATTTAATAATATATTATCATTTATTTAAAAGAGACTATAGATGGATAACTACTTCTAACCAAAAAAATAAAAATAAAAAAAGGAAAACTACTAATTAAGTAAATTTTAAAAAGTAAATATATTGTGCTATATGATTTTTGCACGTATCTACGAGGAAGAAAATTAATCATTAAGCTATGGAAGCAAAAGTCATCTATTTTATAATCAAGATGCTAAATCTTTCTTTTTTCTTCAATTAGAATTATACCTTCCTTATCTTTCTAGCATTTTCATTATTTATATATATATATATATATATATACGCGTTATTTCAAAATAATTGTCATTTTAAAAAATTAAGCTATGATTAATTATTTGTTTCTATCTTTACTCTAGAGATTGATATTATTAATAATGTGGTGAAAAATGATAGTAGTATAAATTTAACCAAATAGCAATTAAGGATAATTTAGTCAAATTACTCTTTTGATTACGTAATATTTTTTAAAATGCATATTGAAAAAAATATGACAAGTAAAATGGACCGGAGGGAGTATTCTTATTATAGAGTTTTTTTAGTATCCGATTATAGAAAATATCTTTCAGATTAGGTGTTAGTGTGTACACATTTATATTATTTCTTTATAAAACACCTATTTTCTAAATATATAGGTAGTCAATTTTATATTATATTAAATTGTTTTCAAATGAAGAAAGAAGTAAGAAACAATTTTTTTAAGATTTTTGGTTGTTGAGTTGTTGGTTAGCTTGCAAGTTTCGAATGGTGAATTAGCTAACAATTTGTTGTGACATGTTTTAGGCCTTTTTTTGCTTTTGATTCATGTAGTGTTTTTTGATAGCTAAGAAACAATGTTTTTAGTAGTTTTTTTTCTAATGGATCTTATCGTTCTTTTTGTGTTTTCGCTTTTAAATATAATGTCTACAATGAAAAAAATGAATAAAAAATAATAATTTTTTTTATTACTGATGAGGTCCTTCAAAACGAAGATAATCATACATTACACCTTGAAATGGGCTAAGAGCCAATATTTGTGAAAGAAAAATAGTGTTTGCTCCATTGACAAGCAATTTTCCTTGTATTCCAATGCTATAAATCCAATATAATCCATGAATTCCATGTCTTGCAATTGCATTACTTCCCCCTATTTGTCCTGTTGTAAAATGAGGTGTTTTTGCATTTTCGTAGTTGACACGAACCTTAAGAAAAAAAAAGATCTATGTAAGTTATATTGAACAAAATTTATCTAGTCACGTTAGTTTAGTTAGAAAATAATATTTCGAATATCATTATGATATATACACGTATGTTACTCGTTATTGTTAGATTTTCCAAAACTATATCATTTTTTATGAACCCGAGCAATATAACATATATTTGAAATAATATTAAGTCAAAGTAATTAAAAAGGGTATATAAATACATACTTGAAGTTCAGCTTGTGAAGCTGCAGCAATAGCCAATTGGAGAGTGTAATTTGAAGCATTACTAACATTGGCAAGATTAAATATAATTTTCCATGTAATAGCTTTATATGTATTGTTTCCAATTTTCCTGAAGAAAACAAAAATCCATCAATTTTTTTTTACATCGATGTTTCATGGTATGTTCTATATATACAATTTAGTATAGCAATCAAAAAAATCAAAGCAAATGTCATTATTATAAAAAGATTTGACTGTATAAACGAGCTTACCTTGTAACATGAGCATAAAACCAATCTCTTGAGTAGTTACTAGTCTCAACATTGTAGACAAGATCAGTTTTAGGATACAAAACACTATATTGTTTCCACAAACCATATTGTCTAAATCTACAAATCAAAATAAAATAAACCACAATTAATTTTTTAAAAAATTATAAAAAGTGTATTTTTGGAACTTACCTTGATTCAGAATTATTTTTGTATTTGTGAACTTTGAATTGTGGAGGTGGATTTGGAATAAAAAATTCAGCAGCAGTTCTATCTGGTACACCAATTTCCCAAATTGTAACTCCATTTCTTGGAGGATTATACAATAAATCACCTAATTTAATATTTGAACCTATACATAGGTACACACACAAAAAAAAATTTAGAAAATATTGTTTAGAATTAGGAAAAAATAACAAGTGAGTTATTAAGAAAATAAAAATAAAATTAACCTGGAGTAACATTTACAATTGAAGTGTATTTATAATCTCCAAGAACTCCTGGGATTGTTGCATACAAATTATATGTACCGGATATGACATTTTTTATGGTGAAATTTCCATTATCATGAGTTTTTGTCCAAAATTGATAACCCTGGAGAATATAAAACGAAATGAAATTTAAAAGAATAATAAATCTATATATATATAATTAAAGTATTCTTCAAATTTTTTTTATATAAATAATATAATTATTTAATTAACCTTACTTTGTTTTCTCTTTGCCAAGATCCAGCTTCTCCTAGTGGTGCTAATCCTATATAAGCATTGGATGCTGGCACAATATGTTTACTGATAAAACTTATAAAACAAAAACACAAAATAAATAATCAATTAGTTATGTCTCAGTCTCAAATTAATTGAAATGATTATATGAATCGTTTATTCGGATATTAGGTATTCTACGTATAGATAATAACTATCTTTAATTTAAATTAGTCAAGACTCATTTTACTATAGATACGTGTGTCGCTATATATTATGTCAAAAGAATCCTAGGTCTTATCGACAATCCTCTTATGGATATTGGCTATATATATTATACCAATCAACCTAGTATGGCTAAGGTTAGAGTGTATGTAGACAAGACATTGAGGTTAATTAAAGATCTCGAAGTGTTAGTAACCTTTTGGGATCACGTACCATATTTTTATTAAACAATAGATATCATATAGGATCAAAACGAATAAAGGTACATATGATAAAGTTTATTTTGATAATTTTTTCCGCCAATGATATATAACCAAATCAAGATCAGATGGGACGACCACTAAGAAGCCAAAGCAAAACTACCATAGGAAAGCTTGCCCCCCC